CCCAGGAGTTTGGGGGGCACTGAGAGTTATGGGGGCGCCACTTTGGGTTTGGGGGGCACTGCTGGGGTTTGAGGAACATTGTTAAAGCAGGGGGACTTGGAGGCAAAGTGGGTTTTGGGGGCATTGGCAGGGCTGGGGGACTTGAAGGGGGCAGCAGAGCATCACCAGGTCTGGTGTCAGGGAGTTTGGGGGGCACTGACCCCCCTGTTCCTCCCAGCCACCTGCCCAAGATCTACCAGGCCCTGCTGGTGTCAGCCACATTCAACCCCGAGCTGGAGGCGCTGCAGGAGCTTGTGCTGCACAACCCTGTGAGGAATGGGGGGCTGGGATGGGGTTTGGGGGGGGTTGAGAGGGGTTGGGGTGTCCAGGAGGAGGTTTGGGGGATCCAAGGAGGATCCAGAGTGGGCACAAAGATGGAAAAACGCTGGGATTTGGGATCACCGCCCCCCAGGAGCAGCTTTAGGGGACACAAGTTGCCCAGAGGATGCTGTGGGTGCCACAGCCCCCCATTTTTCCCCCATCCCATCCCCATGTGCCCCCCAGGCGCTGGTGCTGCCCCCAGAGCCACGGCTGCCGGGCCATTCCCAGCTGCAGCAGTTCCAGGTGCGCTGTGGGACAGAGGAGGACAAGTTCCTGGTGCTCGTGGCCCTGTTGCAGCTGCGGCTGCTGCGGGGCCGGGCCCTGCTCTTCGTGGGCAGCCTGGCCAGGGCCTTCCGCCTCAAGCTCTTCCTCGAGCAGTTCGGCATCCCCGCCTGTGCCCTCAACTCCGAGCTGCCCGCGGCCTCCCGGTATGCCAGGGGGCTGGAGGGACCCTTGGGTGTCCCTGGGGTCACAGGGGTGTCCCTGAGGTGGTGACAGGGGTGTCCATGAGGGGTCTCAATTTGGGATCCCCCCCTGCGCCCTCCACTCCGAACTGTGCACGCAGTCACGCCGAGGGGCTCCTCTGTCCCCAGGTGCCACGTCATCGCCCAGTTCAACCGCGGCCTCTACGACTTCATCGTGGCCACCGATGAGGAGGGGCCTGTGGAGACCCCCCAGCGCCAGGCACGGAAAGGGGGGTCCCTGGGGTGAGCATGGGGGAAGTTGGGGGGCTGGCAGACTCAGGGGTTGGGGGATGTCACCAGGGACCCATTGGTGCCACCAGTGTCCTGTGGGTGGTACCAGTAACCAGGAGATGACAATGGGGACCTGGGAGTGCAACCAGTGCCCTGAAGGTGCCACCAGGGAGCCACTGGTGCCACCAGTATCACCAGTGTCCCGTGAGTGTCACCAGGGACCAGGGTGGCCACCATTGTCCTGTCCCTGTGTGACTGCATCCCCTTTGTGGGGCTCAGGGGGTCCCTGTGACCAGGGCCTCACCGTGCCCAGGGTGACCTTGTGTCCAGGGGATCCCCTTTCCCAGCCTCCCTGTCCCCATATCCCAGATCACCACTTGCTCTGGGCGTCCCTCCTGAGCACCCCCAACCCTTGGTGTTCCTGTGTCCCCCCAGGAAGGGGAAGGGGAAGGGGAAGGCCAAGGACAAGGGGAAGGCCAAGGCCCAGGATCCCGAGTATGGGGTTGCCCGAGGCATTGACTTCCAGAACGTCTCGGCCGTCATCAATTTCGACGTCCCTCCCACGGTCGAGTCCTACATCCACCGCGTGGGCAGGTCTGTGGGGGCACGGGGGGGACCCCCAGGGGTGCCAGGCTGGCCGTGGTCCCACCCTCTGTCCCCCCTGCACCCCCAGGACAGCCCGCGGTGACAACCCTGGCACAGCGCTGACCCTGGCACTGCCCGAGGAGCACGAGGGGCTCACCCGCATTGAGGATGCTCTGGCAGGAGGTTTGGGGGTCCCTGTGCCACCTGGGGGTCTAGGGGACACTGGGGGGCTGGGCTGACCCTCTGTGTCCCTCCAGAGAACGGGCAGTCCATGCTGCAGCCCTACAAATTCTGCATGGAGGAGATCGAGTCACTGCGCTACCGCTGCCGGGTACGAGGGGCACCGGAGGGGCTGGGGGGGCCAGGGAACTGCTGGTGGCACTGGTGAGGTCCTGGTGGCACTGCTGGGGTGCTGGTGGTGCCAGAGGGATCCTAGTGACACTGAGGGGGTCCTAGTAGCTCCAGGAGGGTCCTGGTGGCACTGAAGGTCCTGGTGACACCATGGGGGTGTTGG